AGGGGAGGGGGCGAGAGAGAGAGAGAGAGAGAGAGAGAGAGAGAGAGAGAGAGAGAGAGAAAGGTCCTCTCCTTTTACCTTTCCATGTTTCTGCCTCCTTCTAGGCTTGGACATGAGAAGAGGGCTGGCACTTCAGCAGCAGTCTTGAGCCAGGAGGTGACCTAGAGAATAAAAACCTTGCTCTAAATGATGAAGAAAAAAGACAGAAAAGGCCAGTGGCCCTAGTGACCACAGATGCACTGGAGGGTGCACCAGGCTTCCCCTGTCCTGTCTCTTTTCCAGGAAGCCAAACATCATCCCTGCTGACAGCCACGTTCCTGTCATACAGATATAATCTCTCTACTGATTGAAGGCCACAGGAAAAAAAAAAATCTCTAAATCCACCTTTCCTTGAAGCTTACAATTTAGGGAAGTAGCTGAGCACCCCCGTTTTCATTAAGCTGATTCACTTGGGCTTTCTGGCACCAGCAAAGAGGAGGCTGAGCTAATCGAGACTAGTCCAGAAGTACAAGTGTGGGGGTTCTGTTATTAACTTAAAATGTTATCAAGCAGCAAATATTTATAGAGTACTTACAAGGTGTTGCCCTGCCCTAAGACTTTACTTACTTTACCTTGTAACATCATCTCTTTCCATTATCCCGACAGTTCTGCAAACCAAGTGGCACTGTTCTGGCCATTCTGCAGATTAGGAAACTGAGCCCCAAGTGCTCACTTTGGTGGCACATATACTAAAATGGGAAACTGAGCCCCAAACAGGTGGCTGTCCCAAGATCACACACCTCACATGTATGTAATTTAAACACAGATGAGGGGCATGAGTATAGCTGTATTATGATATCGTGATTATCTCTGCATGGTGGAGAAAGCTACTCAACCAAGGCAGGCAGACGCAGAGAAGGTGACAACAAACCAGCCAGAGAGGAAGGAGCCAAGTACAGGACACCCCCAAAAGGTTCCCGTGATCCATTTCCTCCAGTGGGGCCCCCTCCTAACTGCCCATTCAGCCATAAACCCATCAATGGCTGATGCACTGGTGAGATCAGCGCCCTCAACTGATCGCTCATGATCTTCTGAAAGCCCCGTCTATGAGTGCATGAGACTTTCCGTGGACATTTTAGATCCAAACCATAACAAGAGGTGCCCCAGGCTCCCATTTTCCTTTGTCTGAGCAGTCTGAGACTTGGGTGTAGGTTGTTTGGAAGGGTGTGACCTCAGGAAGCACAGGTGAGGGTCCCCGAAGAATGAGACAACAGTTCATTAGAGCAGCCACTGCTATGGCAATGTGCTGGCTACTGCAGTCTCTGAGAAGGCCCCAGAACACTCTAAATGGTCGAGCACAGCCCTCCAAATTGTCCTCTTCTGACAGAAGATAGGGATGTGGTGACCAGTTCCTGTGACCGAGGTGAATATGCCGGAACCTCTGGCCTGAGCCTGAGTATGGGCAGAGGACTCCCACAGGAACTTGTGACAAGAGACACAGGAAGCTCAGCTGGGAGCTGGCTGAGCTGGGGAATCTGAACTCACACAAGCTTTCCAGCACAACTGTGGCAGAAACCCAAAGGGCAGAGGAGGGACACCAACAGCCAAGCCTCTGTTGCTTCCTGCCCTCATCAGCAAACCACACAGTTGCTCAGGTGTCTGTCATCACTTAACCCAGATCCAGGTGGCTTGGAGGAAGCAGACCTCTGGCAGGTAGTAGGTCGGTCCCCTCTATGCCAGAGTTATCACAGTGAGCGACAGCTCCAGCATCCACACTTACACAGCTGAGCATGTCCCTGGAGAAGGTCAGTCATCCTGCATCTCAACATGACTCTCAAGCCAGCCCAATAAGACTGAGTGGAGAAAGAATTTAATGCTGCCATTGCAAGGTACAGATTTTCTCTCTCTCTTCCCGGATGTGAGCAAAGAAGGAGGCTGTCCCAGGCGGCATTGGCAGTAATCTTGTGCCTTTAAGCAACAGGGGAAGAGCAAAACTGCCTCAAGACCCAAGGAGATGATAGCTTAGCAGGCAGTGAAGATGCAAAAGACAGAGACAAACTTTCTGAGTGAATTAAAAACAGGAGTGTAGGGATCCATAGAGGGGAGTGAGAAGAAATGGAGACAAGCACAGGAAGACAGAGGCCATCAGGCAGGTTGTTTGACATTAGTGGTCCTGAGGGAAAAAGGGGTAGGTTCAAAATAAGTTAAGTAAAGAAACAAAGCTGTCAGTGTATAATACATTGATAATCATTTCTTAGGTCTCAGGCCCCAAGCGATCCCTCAGAGCACAAAGACATCTTAAGATCACACACTGTGCACATTCCAGGCCACCTGGCCATCCAGCTCCAGAATGAGGCACACAGCAATCCCGGCTGCCATGGCCTACAGCCCGATGAAATCAGGGACGGAAATGCTCTTTTAATGATCATCTTGGCTTGGTCGGGGACCTGGTTTAGATTAAGAATTTATCTTCTGTAAGTTTCTCACATGATGAAAGCCCCCAAGGAAACACTGACCATCTAATAAGGACAGGAAGACGTTCTGCAATTCCTAAGTAACCTCGAAGTGGAATGTTGATAAGCATCACAGGCACCCCAGTTCCCCAGCCCTGAAGAGTAACTTTTGTATACTTAAAAAGGTGTCCAAATTCATACTTAGTGCAGATGCCTTCATGGCACCACCCACCTTCTCACCTGAAGGCATAACTCTCTATATCTACTTCAAAATAAACCCTTCCTATAGTTCTGCATAATGTGTGCCTTGACTGAATTTTTTCATCAAGGGCACAAAAAAAAAAAAAAAAAAAAAGGACCAAGAAGTAACTCACTGCGTTCATAATCCAGCTTCCCAGTGACAGGAGGACTGAGAGATACAGCTATAGAAACAGACGTGCCCAGCCGAGGGGAGGGCAATGTACGACTGGATGTTACTTTGCGGGTCACCAAAATCTTTTTGTCTTCCCCAACACTCAAGCCAGTCACCTGCAGCCTGAATTCCTTGTGTACAGATTCTCTGTTAAAAATGAACAGAACAGGTGTATACCACATGTAGGCCAAGCTGCTGAGTGAGGAACAGGGCCCCAGGAGCAGACGGGACAGCAGAAGCCAAGCCTTTGGGTGCACATAACAAATGTGGACCTCACTGGTCTAGACAGAAAAGGAATGCATTGGTATCTTGCTCTAATGCCCCTGGTCATCCCCTGGTGACTATGAGCAGACAGGTTTTGAGCCTCTAGGTCCACAGATATGTGCTCAGTTCAAGTGCAGGGCCACCCAGAAATGTCAGAAACTCATTCTCAGGTCCTCTCTACCAGTGAGAAGCAGGAATCAGTGAATAAACACCCAGGCCCTGTCCCTTAGAGGGACAAATGGGGATGCACAGTGGTTCGCTGACCCACACAGCCCTTGAGCATAGTAAAATGGCTTTGATGCCACTCATTCTGGAGTGATTTCATCTGCAGCAGTTAATAACGAAAATGTCCAAACCTGCCTGTACCAATTTCCTGCCTCAGGGTTGGCTTCAACGAATCCAAGCTAAAATGAAAGCACTGTCCGGGAGATCCTGGCTCCAGGTATATGAAGGCAAGAGGTTCAAAGGAGGCAGCTCACCTCCTCCCAACCAGAGGCTTAAGTCTGGGTCTCACTGCTTTGGAAACAGATGGACTGATACAATGGGACTGCTGATTAGGCAGGCCTGGTCAGGGATAGGGCGACCCAGCAGCCACACAGTCCTGAGTGGGAGGGGGTGGCTTTCACAAGAGAGCTAGGTTGCTGCAACCTCCTCAGTCCTGTTCAGAGCTTGGGCCCATGTACTTCTGGGAGGAAAACCCTCCTTAGTCCAAAGGTTGAGCACCAATCAAGCTAAGCTGACCATGGTAATTCTATTCTTGCCAGGACTGGTTTAGGTGTGGATATGATCTAATTCTTGTTCCTAGCAGGGCAAGGGTTGGGGGACAACCAAGAAAAGATTTCTCCACTATTAAAAAAAGCACAAATGGATGTCCTAATTTCTTCTGAATGTAGTTACATAGTGATGTGATGCTTTAGGCTATAGCAGCCACACTGGCACCATGAGGAGCAAGCCCAACGATGACAGCAGCAAAAGACAGACAGAACCTGGGTAGCATTTGTTCTGCTGCCTCTTTACTAATCTTAGATATACCTTCCTCCAATCATCAGTGTGAGTTGGGCCATAGGTACCATAGAGAACACAGAGTGTGACACTAGGGGCATGGCCTCACTGGCCATGGCTTGATGACAGAGGTCACAGTTCATTTTCCCACTCCAGAACTGTGGTCCCATCTTGTATCCACTAAGTGACTCCGGAAGGGACAGCTTCCCTCTTGATAAAATTCTCTCAGCAATCCCAGGACCGAGGTGTGGGGTCAGCCCTCTTCCTGGAACAAAGTATAATTTAGGTGCTCATAGGGATTATGCCTGGGAACTGCAGAAAGAGAAAGGTCAAGGTCAAATTCCCAGTGGCATCTGAATCCTATCGTTTAGCCCTCAACAGCAAGATGGGAAATCTGCAGGTCGGAGGTTTATGTGTCCCTCTGTTCACAAAAACACTCTGAGGCACGGTCAGTCACCTCATCTCACAGATGGGTGGCAGAGTGAGCCCCTGGCCTTGAACTTACCTCACCCAGCCTCCTCTGGCATCCCAGGCTGAACCAGACTCCAAACTGTCCCCTTCCTGCCTAGCTGTGGGGGCTAAGTGGCCCGGAGCTCCGGAGCTCCGCACTGAGAAAGCCTGAACTTCACCTTCAGCCGACCTGCCTTGGCCACGTGGTTCGGAACCAAACCTGCTTCCCAGTGGTGCTGCGACGCCCCCATGGGACAGCGTGGGAGTTAGAGCAGTCCCCACACATTGTCAGCTCGATATGACACAGGTACTGGCTGCTGAATGGGGGTGGGGGGGCTAGAAAGATTCCGGAGCCAGAATGGATTGGAGTCCAGGCTCAGCCACTTCCTAGATCCATGATACTGACCAAGTCGCCTAAACTTCTCTGTGCCTCGGTTTCCTCGTCTGCAAAATGGGGCTGGTGACCCTGCCTGGCTCGCAGGGCCATTTGGAAGTGCCTGCGCGGTCCGCACCGCCGGCACTGTTCTCCCTCCGACCCCGGGACTCCGACTGCGACGGCGGCGAGCGCGGCCAGCACCGCGGGTTTCGC